TAATTAACTAATCTATCTAACTTTCTCAACTTACATAAATTAATTAAGTAGATCTTATATTAAAGACAATAGAGGAGTAAGTTCTCTTCCTATTTATTCTCTCTTCACTCTCTCCCTCCATTGTGCCTAAGGTTTTAGTGCTTTTCACCAATTTTAAGTAATTTTCTAATCTACATAATTTTGTTATTTTTATCTTCAATTGATGATGCTCTTTTTAATTCATCCAACATTATACAGTATTTTTTCCCCCAAGTGCTTGAAGTATTTTATCATTCAATTTTGCCTTTAAAGTATTTTTTAGGAGTTATTTTATTTTTGTCATTAACTTTCAAAAGGTTGATACATCCAACACTATAAAAAAATTTTATAATAACCTAACGTAATTTTTTTTTCGTGTACTTTTGTCTTAAATTAGAGGAGGAAGCAGCTAAAGAGCAGAGGGAACAGAATATAATAAATTACAATTCATGAAGTGAAGGTTTGGAAGTAAGCAATACAAAAAGTCTTGAGAATTTGTGTAAGCAATCCAGTTATGAGACAACTTATTAAAAGGAGTTAGGTGGCTAATCCGAAAAAAATTATGAGGCAGCTTGACATAAAGATAAAATTCATGGGTGCCTTCATAGTCAAAGATAACTACCAAACGACCAACCAATGAAATGCCAGTGGACCTATACCGAGGAAACAGACAATGAAAGCTTTGAAATTTGGTTCCATTCCCATTTTTGGTGGAAATTTTCCAGTAAATAGGAGCAATGGTTCCTCCAAAATATCAAGAGGGTGGTTGCTTCCCATTTCTATCGTTCAAACTCACGCAAATTGTGTCTTAGATTTCGAATATTAGCATCGTACCTAAACATTGTTCTGAACAATGAAACGGCATAGCCGATTGGCCATCCTATTCTTTTTCTTCTGCGTCTTGACTACATTCACTCAACCACACTTCCTGATCCATGCACGGTAACAAGTTGCGGGGTTGATGGACCTGCCATTCGATTCCCCTTTAGGCTCAAAGGAAAACAGCCAGAATGGTGTGCATATAATCCTGGCTTTGATCTTTACTGTAATGAAACAAACCACACGGTGCTCGAGTTGCCCTTCTCTGTCAAGGTTATCGTACGCGACATTGACTATAAAAAACAATTCTTTGCTGTGTCTGACCCTGATGGATGCCTTGCTCATCTCAATTTATCTGCGTCGCCTTTTCGGTCAAATGATTATTATGACTCCAGCCGAAATGCGATATTCAATTGCTCAGGGACGTCTCGTAGAGATTCAAATCAATTTCCAAAATTGGGAAACTTCTCTTGTCTCGATGTTGCCGGCTATGAGGTTTTAGCTGTACCATACTTTGCGGATATCATAGACTATCCTCTTCTATCATGCACGAGAATTCCTGGTTATGCATCAGTCCCCGATTCATTTTTCTATCACAATGAGCTTATATATCTATCTTGGCTCGAACCAGATTGCAGAAAGTGTGAGGACCATGGAGGGCAGTGTAGATTGACAGAAAACAAAGTTGAACGTGAACCTGAATGTTTCCAAAACCCTCATACAGGTATAATTTTTTCTCCGATTATAATACCTTCATAAACAGAGTATAAAATCTATTTGTATGTGAAGCTGATATAAAGTTTATTTTAGCAGGTCCATCAAAACAAATAGTACTCACTGGTAAGGATTCTTCAGCCAACAATTCATCATTTCACATAAAAATTGAACATAAAAGTTCCCAAATGAATTTAATACATATTGTATATGTCGCTATATTTGCAGGTGAAATCCTAGGCCCGTTCCTGCTCATGTTTGTTGGGTTTGTTGTTTATTGGGTTACTGCAGCTAGCCTAGAGAGGCAGGGTTACAAAAAAATTAAACTGTTTTTGGAGGATTACAAAGCACTTAGGCCTGCTAGATACTCGTATGCAGATATAAAGAGGATCACTAATCAGTTCAAGGATGAACTTGGACAAGGAGCTTACGGAACTGTCTTTAAAGGGAAGCTATCTAATGAGATTCAGGTGGCTGTGAAGCTTCTCAACACTTCAACTGGGAATGGACAAGAGTTCATCAATGAAATGGAGACCATGTGTCAAATTCACCATGTCAATGTGGCTCGCTTGGTTGGCTACTGTGCGGATGGATTCAAACGAGCTTTGGTTTATGAATTTTTACCCAATGTTCATTGCAGAAATTCATAACTTCAGCTGATAGAAAGGATATTTCCTGGGTTGGGAAAAGCTTCAAGATATTGCTTTGGGCATAGCCAAAGGAATTGAGTATCTTCATGAAGATTGTGACAAACGGATCCTCCACTTTGATATCAAACCTCACAACATTCTGTTAGATGACAAATTCACTCCAAAAATATCTGATTTCGGTTTGGCCAAACTCTGTTCTAAGGATCAAAGCATTGTGTCAATGACAACAGCTAGGGGCACCTTGGGCTATATTGCACCGGAAATATTTTCTCGGAACTTTGGCAATGTGTCTTATAAATCAGATGTTTATAGCTATGGAATGTTACTGCTTGAGATGGTTGGAGGTAGGAAAATCACAGATGTCACAGAAGAAAATGACGAGCAGGTTTACTACCCACAATGGATTTATAATCTTCTAGAGAACAATGAAGACATACAAATCCATATAGAAGGAGAGGAGGACACTAAAATTGCAAGGAAGCTATCCATTATTGGACTTTGGTGCATTCAGTGGCATCCAGCAAACCGTCCAACCATGAAAAATGTGGTTCAAATGCTGGAAGGGGACGATGAAAAGCTAATCATGCCTCCTAATCCTTTTGGTTCTTCACATGCAATTAGAACAAGAGCTGCTAATGGAGTAAGGCGATTGCAACCAGAGTTATCTACCATTTCAGAAATAGAGTGAAGTTGAGATGGTTATAATGAGCTGTGTTAGATATAAATTTGTGTTTTGGTTGGTAGTCTTTCCTTCTTGTGTATAAAGTTCAAAATAGGATCACAGATAGTTATCCATGAAAGAATTTCTAAACAATTATAAATATGTAAGTTCTACGTTTTTGCCTGTGGCTATAACCAACTTGAAAAAATTGTTGTCCAGTATTTCTTAACTACATGGTTCACTGAAGCTATATATCATGATCTAAGTTCTTTAAACAATTATATCCTTTTGAATAAAATGGATAGAAGAGAAACTACTGCAAAGGCCTACATATAAGCGAACGGCTTCCCTACTCTGAAGCTTGGCTCACTCTTCACGAACTCATTTTTGGAAGCTTGGACTATCTATGTTGAGGAACTCAAATTATGTCAAATATAACCGAAATTCTTCTCGAAGTGTATAACCACAAAGAAAGCTTAATATTTTAAATCTCTACAGAAAGGGTTGTTGAGATGTGGGAGAGAATGGTAAGAGTAACACAATAAAAATAGAAATGAGATTCACTTTTACTTTTTTATGAATTTGTATTACAATTTTACAGTAAAGAATTTTTTAAAAACTAGAGTCAATGGAACTTTGTGTGTGCAGTGGCCAATAAAAATCGTTTTTTCGAAGTCTTCATGGACTTTATGAGAGTTTTATTGTAAAAAACTTTTAGAAAAGAATATAGTCGCTTTCCAGCTTTTGAAAATTTGCCTAATTCAATTCTATATAATTTATATAAAGCTTGACTAGGACAGATTTTGGGTGGCTGCCAGTCAGTCATCGATGATTAAAGATATTATTAATAATAGTTGACTTGGAGTCAATGCCTTGTGCAATTCCACAACCATCACCCATTAATAAATGCCGCAAGAATTTTCAACGAAGATGAAGAACATGTTTTGCTTCATTCTAGAACTATATATATAACTAAAGGAATATAAATTAAATAGAAACAAAAAATTGAATTTATATAATCCAATAAATATTAATTACAAGAAAACTACATTTGCAATGGTTTCTAGGAAAAATTGGTGAGGAGTAAAATATTTATCACCAAAAGTATTAGAAATTTATTTAAAGATATAGGTGCAACTCATTACAACTCTTTTAATAAGTACTATAGAAATAGGTATTGCATATGGCTGAAGAAAAATTGCACTCATATGTTGAAGATGAGTTATGCCTACTGAATTCAAGCCATTTTAATCAAAATCTTCTCAAATAAGTAACTTTTCAGCAAATTTTGCTTGCTTCTATTTAATTTCTCATTTTTATTAAAATAAAAAATATATATTTTGTACTTCTGAAATTTGTTTAGTCAGATTATACTATTCTACATATTGTCGGCAAGAATTGATGTTTCGGTAACGATTGATTGGATGGAACCATAAGAAGATGGAAATTAATTTTTTTTAAAAAAGCCAAATTATATTGACTCCAGGTCAACCACAATTGATGTGCTTTAATTCATTATTGGCGACAAACCTTCAACAAAGTGATAAGAAAGATGGACCAAGCAGTTTCTAGGAAAGAGTGACAGTGATTATATATGGGAACCCCACCATATTACCAAAAAAAAAAAAGTGTAATACTCTGCCATGGCTATAAAATCTAATTTGTAGCATTGTAATACAAACTAGATTTTATAATTAGGATAGGAAGTAATATTAAGTTTGAAACTTAGTTTATCTTTCCTAACTCGTTTTTTTCATTCAAATCTACCTGGATTCCTCATATCATCATGCAAGTTGTATAAACTATGAATTAGAGTTCTGCCAAGCAGCAAATTCTTTTTTAAAATGCATAACTGTAGAGAAAACTTGTTAATTTAAATTTCCATATACCGAAGAAATAGCTATGTCATAAAAGAGCATGTAAAAACGTGGCAACATAAAAATTTCATTATTTACTAGGATAACAACCTTCTTCCAACAATGACCTACATATATATAGTCCAGTAAATCAGAGTACTTCAAAAAACATTGAAGATACTAACCATAATGCTACTTTTACTTATTTGAAAGTAGTTTAGTCGAAACATGAATTGTCAGTAGCAGCAACATTTTCTTCTGAAATCTGTCACCAAGTTACATAAATTTAGGGAGGAAGAGCCTCTTGAAGCTCCATTTCTCCCTCAAGCATCTCTAACACATTCTTCATGGAAGGTCGATCATTAGGATACATCTGTATGCAATGTGAAGCTATTATAATCATCTTCTTTGCAATTCCTCTTTCCTCATCTGAGATATTGCTCCTCTCTATTGATTCCTCAAATTGATCATAAACCCATTTAGCAAAATAGGTCTGCCAGGAATGCTCAATGACATTCGAGTTCTTCCTTCTGCCAGCCATTTCCATTAGTAGCATCCCAAAACTATAAACATCAGCTTTGTGCGATATTCCTCCAATGTTCTTGTACAAGAATTCAGGAGCCATGTATCCAAATGTTCCTCTTGCATTTGTCAGAGACACAATACTATTATCTAATGGGTACAACTTAGCCAATCCGAAATCCGAAATCTTTGGATTAAAATTTTCATCAAGAAGGATATTGTGAGGTTTGATATCAAAGTGTAGAATTTGCATATCACATCCTCGATGTAAATATTCAATTCCTCGAGCAATCCCCAGAGAAATGTTAAATATTTTCTCGTAATTGATGGGCGTGTTGCTTTGTCTCTCCAAGAATATGTACTTGTCAAGTGATCCATTAGGCAGAAATTCATAAACAAGAGCTCGCTTATTTCTTTCAGCACAGAATCCAATCAGCTGCACCACATTGACATGATGAATCCTGCCAATAGTGGCAACTTCGCTAATGAAATCTTGCGCATTATTGGCTTTGGACTTTGCCAGTAACTTGACGGCTACATCGCGATTGCTTCGAAGCTTACCTTTGTACACATAACCATAGCCTCCTTCACCCAACTTGTGTTTGAAGCCATTGGTCATTTTCTTGATCTCTGAGTAGGAGTACTTGATGGGCATCAAGTTGCTATTATTTCGGAGGAAGTCCTCAACGTTGTCATAAAAATGATGCCTTCTTTTCCATCGAAGAATCAAGAATATTAAAGCACAGGGGGCACCCAGTACAAATTTAGCTCCAGACCAGAGAGTTACTATACCCATGATTTCAACAATAATAATCAGCATTCAATCAATTCTTCCTTTATAATACAGACTTGCATTATAAACATTGAATTCCTTGTTGTGATTCCTAAAACATGGACTTCCCATTAAAATTCTTTCGTAATTTCTGGGGATGCCAAAAGGATAATTTCCGTTAGTAATTACTGTACACATCACAATTCCCCGTTGATATCGTCTTTTATTGAAGTACCTTGAGTTGGGCTTTAATAAAATCATAATTTTGCTTTGGAACCTTAAATATGCAAGTTATGAATTGCATTCTTTAAGGAGCGTCTAATTTTATAAAATCTTGAATTGCCAGATATCAAACAATTTGGAAGACATAAATGGCTAGAAGAAAAACACAGGAATAGGAGGGTTCTCACATTGATAAAAATTTTGCAAGCATGTGTAATTCTGGTCATTATAAGAGATAGCTTGGTCAAGGTTTAAGACTATGTAGCAATTTTAATGCATGTATTTCTGAGTTAGAGCCTAATCATAATCAGTCATCGACTTCAGCAGCCACTAGCGCTGTTACACTAAATTAATAGAATATGCATGATCATAAGAATCAATGGCTATAAGGAACTAGTAAAAAAATTATCTATGGCAATCATTGAGAAAACTGCGAGAATATAATAAAAAGGGGCAAAACTGTAAGGATTTGATTAACAATTGGGTAAAATTATGAACAGAAGTTTTGAGACCTAATTAGGTAGTAATCACATATCTTACATTTCCTCAACTTCGAAAATTAAAGGTAGCTTCGAGTAGAAACCAATAGGTGCCATTTGGTGCAAAATATTAAAAATAAAAGATAGGGATTAAGATTGCGATTGAGAAAAATTATTAAAAAAAGTTTTTAGCAAGAGTAATTACTTATTATATAAAGTTTAGATAAACTTATAAAAGTGAGATTGGAAAGTACTATCTTTTCCCATAGTATTCCCCAATCCCACTTATATAGGTTTATCAAATCCCATATAACAAGTAATCTTTCATGCTAAACACTTTTTAATACATTTTCTTAATCGCACTCTCAATCCGTACCTTTCATTTTCAATGTTTCATGCCAAACGAGACCACAGTGTCAAAGCTTCCGGAAGTTAAACTCATATTATTAGAGCTTGTATATTCCATCATAATGAACAGAGAGAAGGTCTGCAAATTGTTTAGAATTGTAGACTGAGAAGGCAATGTTAAAATTTGACCATCCAAATATTTTCCACCTTATCCTAATTAAGTTCTAAGAGGAGTTACTTCGACTTTCACTAAAGGGAGAATAGGAAAAACTGATTAATGTTTTTAGCATTAACCTTGGGGAGTATGAGAAATCAAAGCAACGATAATGACCTAAAGAAGCCTTAAAATAAAGAAGTAAACTTTACTTTGCTTACCTATAATTATCCCGCTCCAAACGAAGGCTGCAAGGTCAAAAATTCCAAAAATAATTAGTTTCTATTAGATGAACACGAGAATGAATACCCTCGTTATTTTGTTTTCTTTCTTAGATTAATTTCATGACAACTATCTATGAAGCTCACCGGCAAACCAGCCCCAGTAAAAAGATGCTATGTCCTCAACCTGGTGATGGCAAAGAACCATATTAGTGGCATTTTCAAACCAGCAGCTAGGTTGCCCTGATGCTTCCCACACCCCACAACGTTTTGGGTGCCATTTGATGTGAATCCCCTTTACCTCTTGGCTCTGCACTTGTGGATATGAACAGTTCTCCTTACATGTCATTGGTCCCCATGGCACTATCTTCACCATCAAATCTATTTTGCATGACTCTGGCACATCACTTGATTTATACCCCTTCAGCACATAAGAATGAACTGTTTCTAGCGCTTCATTAGCACAAAGCGCCACAATATCCGGATTCAGATCAAGAGAGAGTGGATTTTGGCAGCTGACAAACACTAATCCTCCCACATAATAACTGAAGTGGTAATTTTTGGAGTCTAGTTCTGTCGTTTTGGCTGTGAAAGCTTGGCTGAAGTTGTTGTATGAGAGGGAATGACGAGTGATTGCAGAGCAGTTGTTGAAGTCAAGTCCAGCGGTAACGGATTGGAGAGTAGTTGTAGAGTTAGTGGCATAAATGGCTTCTACTAAGTGCCTCCCATAGTTTAAATGCAACACACTTCTGCTATTCTCACAGACTAGTTGGTATGTGGGATCGCTGCAATTGGAGGAATAAACGAATCCATTTGTTGGGACGTTGAACACATGTCCGCAGGATTCAGTAAATGTTTGGACGATATGGGAGGGTGGAAGTTGAGATGGAATGTCGTATGGACCGTAGTATATAAGGAGAGCAAAGACGGCAACGAAGACGATTACGAGGGTTTCGTTCATCATTTTGAGGGATCAGACGAGAAAGAAAGAAAGAAACTAGCTACTTTACAAGCTGCCAGGCGATGGATAGATCCATGCATCCACATAAATGTACTGTTTGAATATTCGCCTAACTCAATTCAACGTTCACGTGGCTTCACTGAAATAAAAAATTAACAGTCAGTTGAAGAGTCAATGCTGCGTACCAATCCCCAAGCACCACTCGTTATGAAGGCGACAAGAATTTTCAAGGAAAGCGACAGGACGCTTTTTTTTTTTTTTTTTTAAGGCACACTTATCTTGTAGAGACTAACTTTTCGCTACCACCCCATTTTGTTACAAAGGGACAGGAGATTTTATCTGAGGTGTTTTGTTGCTTGGTTGAGCAGTGAGGCTCATGAAAATTATATGAGAGTTTTATTGTAAAAAACTTTTTTTAAAATATATGGTTGCTTTCCAACTTTTGAAAATTTGCCTAATTCAAATCTGTATAATTATATAAAGCTTGACTAGGACAGATTTTGGGCCGCTGCCAGTTAGTCATTGGTGGTTAAAGATATTATTAATACGGTTGACTTGAAGTCAATGCCTGTGCAATTCCACTACCATCACCCATTAATAAATGCCGCGAGAATTTTCAACGAAGATGAAGAACATCATGATGATATGAGGAATTTTGCTTCACCCTAGAACTATATATATAATTAAAGGACTATAAATTAAATAGAAACAAAAAATTGAATTTACATAATCCAATAAATATTAATTACAAGAAAACCACATTTGCAATGGTTTCTAGGAAAAATCGGTGAGAAGTAAAATATTTATCACCAAAATTATTTGAAATTTATTTAAAGATATAGGTACAACTCTTTTAATAAGTCCCAAAAGAAATACGTATTGCATATAGCTAAAGAAAAATCACACTCGTGTTGAAGATGAGTTACGCCTACTGAATTCAAGCCATTTTAATCAAAATCTTCTCAAATAAGTAACTTTTCAGCAAATTTTGCTTGCTTCTATTTAATTTCTCATTTTTATTAAATCTGAAATTTTTTAGTCAGATTATACTATTCTACATATTGTCGGCAAGAATTGATGTTTCAGTAACAATTGACTGGATGGAACCATAAGACGATGGAAATTAATTTTTTAAAAAAGCCAAATTATATTGACTCCAAGTCAACCACAATTGATGTGCTTTACTGCCACTGAATTCATTCTTGGCGACAAACTTTCAACAAAGTGATACGAAAGATGGACCAAGCAGTTCCTAGGAAAGAGTGACAGTGATTATATATGTAATATTAAATTTGAAACTTAGTTTTATCTTTCCTAACTCGTTTTTTCCGTTCAAATCCACTGGATTCCTTATATCATCATGCAAGTTGTATAAACTACGAATTAGAATTCAACCAAGCAGCAAATTCTTTTTAAAAATGAATAAGTGTAGAGAAAACTTGTTAATTTAAATTTCCATATACGGAAGAAATAGCTATGTCATAAAAGAGCATGTAAAAACGTGGCAACATAAAAATTTCATTATTTATCAGGACAACAACCTTCTTCCAACACTAACCTACATGTAATCCAGTAAATCAGAGTATTTCAGAAAACATTAAAGATACTGACTATAATGCTAGTTTTACTATATTGCAAGTAGCTTAATAGAAATACGAATTGTCAATAACAGCAACATTTTCTTCTGAAATCTGTCACCAAGTTACATAAATTTAGGGAGGAAGAGCCTCTTGAAGCTCCATTTCTCCCTCAAGCATCTCTAACACATTCTTCATGGAAGGTCAATCATTAGGATACATCTGTATGCAATGTGAAGCTATTATAATCATCTTCTTTGCAATTCCTCTTTCCTCATCTGAGATATTGCTCCCCTCTATTGATTCCTCAAATTGATCATAAACCCATTTAGCAAAATAGGTCTGCCAGGAATGCTCAATGACATTCGAGTTCTTCCTTCTGCCAGCCATTTCCATTAGTAGCATCCCAAAACTATAAACATCAGCTTTGTGTGATAATCCTCCAATGTTCTTGTACAAGAATTCAGGAGCCATGTATCCAAATGTTCCTCTTGCATTTGTCAGAGACACAATACTATTATCTAATGGATACAACTTAGCCAATCCGAAATCCGAAATCTTTGGATTAAAATTTTCATCAAGAAGGATATTGTGAGGTTTGATATCAAAGTGTAGAATTTGCATATCACATCCTCAATGTAAATACTCAATTCCTCGAGCAATCCCAGAGAAATGTTAAATATTTTCTCGTAATTGATGGGCGTGTTGCTTTGTCTCTCCAAGAATATGTACTTGTCAAGTGATCCATTAGGCAGAAATTCATAAACAAAAGCTCGCTTATTTCTTTCAGCGCAGAATCCAATCAGCTGGACCACATTGACATGATGAATCCTACCAATCGTGCAACTTCGCTTATGAAATCTTGTGCATTATTGGCTTTGGACTTTGCCAGTAACTTAATGGCTACATCACGGTTGCTTCGAAGCTTACCTTTATACACATAACCATAGCCTCCTTCACCCAACTTGTGTTTGAAGCCATTAGTCATTTTCTTGATCTCTGAGTAAGAGTAGTTGATGGGCATCAAGTTACTATTATTCCGGAGGAAGTCCTCGACATTGTCATAATAAGATTGATGGCTTCTTCTCCATCGAAGAATCAAGAATATTAAAGCACAAGGGGCACCCAGTACAAATTTAGCTCCAAACCAGAGAATTACTGTACACAAGATTTCAAGAATAATCAGCATTAAGTCAATTCTCCCAAATATAATATAGATTTACATTATAAATATTGAATTATTTGTTGGGATTCCCAAAATAAGGATTTAACATTAAATTTTTTATGTTGTGGCTGGGTTCTATTAATAATTGCATATTTGACATATGATATCAGTAAATTGGATTTAAATTAACTATAGATTACTTATTGGGAATCCTAAATTGGGCAATTCCTACTGATTCTCGTATATAGGCTATGAATAGTTGGGGTTCTCAAAAGGGATAGTTTGTTACGCAATTGTAATTAGGCGGCGCGATGGGAATAGGAGCCAGATATAGTTAGTTAGGAAAATGACTGTTAGAGTTAGTTGAGAGGTGTTGAGCCTATAACTATAATCTAGACTTACCTTATACTACCTCCTGTACTAATTATAAGAGCCAGTTGACTAATTTGAGGAGATTAAGGAAGTAAGTTGAGTTAGTTATTTATCCTAAATAGGTGTTGTCTTTTTTAAAATATCCTTACTAATCAAGTGTATTGACTAGAACTATCATTATTAGAAGGGCTACTTTGGAAAAAAAATATATAAATATGAGAGACAAAGTGGATTGATGTCTTATATTTAGGATCAAAATAAAAGTCAAATAGAGTCTTATATTAAGGACCGGAGGTAGTATTTAGATTATGATTTGTAAACATCTATCTAATAAATGACACTTCAAAATTGCTCTGTTTCCTATTATCTTGCCCTCCAGATATCTTTATGTTTTTATCTCAACTCTCTCTTCTTCCCTCTCTTTGCCTCTCTCTCTCATGTCAGAATTACAAAGACGCACCATATTCAAGCAACAGTTAGTATGAGACGACCTAACTTATAATTAGAGCTTGTCTATCCTATCATAAGGAACAGAAAAGGTCTGCAAATTTTGATAGAATTGTACACTGAAAAGGTAAAGTTGAAAATTTGTTCCATACCTATCCTAAGTCCTCAAAAGATTTACTACTACTTTCACGAAATGGAGAATAGGAAAAATCGATGGATGTGTTTGGCATGAACCTTGCAAGTATGAGAAATCAAAGCATGAATAATGAAAACGAAGGACTAAGCATTTTCCTATGCGCAAGAAGAAAACTTTTGTCGGCTTACCGATCAACCCGCACCGAAAGAAGCCTGCGTTGTCAAAAATTCCAAACATAATTAGTTCCTATCAGATCAGCATGAGAATAAATATCCTCTTTATTTCCTTTTCTTTCTTAGATCAATTTCATGACAACTATATCTATGAAGCTCACCATAAAACAAGTCTGAAGGAGAAACTTTTGTATCGGCGGCCTGGCTATGGCAAAGGACCATATTAGTGGCATTTTCAAACCAACACACACCTTTCTCTCCTTCCCACTGCCCACAACGATTTGGACGCCATTTGATGTGAATCCCCTCTACCTCTTGGCTCTGAACTTGTGGATATGAACAGTTCTCATTGCATGTCATTGGTCCCCATGGCACCATCTTCACCATCAAATCTACTTTGCAAGACTCTGGCACATCATTTGAATCCTGTGTCAGCACATAAGAATGAAGCGTTTTCGGAGCTTCATTTGTACGAATACAAGACGCTATAATATCCCAGTACAGATCAGGTGAGAGTGGATTTTGGCAGCTGACAAACACTAATCCACCCTCATCGTAATCGTATTTTTGGGCGCTTAGTTCTGCCTTTTTGGCTGTGAAAGCATGGCTGAAGTTGCTGTATGTGAGAGAAGAATGACGAGAGATCGCTGGGCATTTGTTGTTGTCGATTCCAGCGGTGATGGATCGGAGAGTGGTGGTGGAGTTAGTGGCATAAGTGGCCTCTACTAAATGCCTCCCGTAGTTCAAATATAACACTGTTCTGTTGTTCTCGCAGACTAGTTCGTAACTCGGATCGCTGCAATTGCTGTCATAAATATATGTATTTGTGGAGACGCTGAACACATATCCGCAGGATTCACTAACTGTCCCGACAAAGAATGGTAAACTAGTAAGGTATGTACCTACCAAAACGAAGGCAAAGAAGATTATGAAGATTTGGTTTATCATTGTGAAGGATCAGAGAAGGAAGGAACAAGCTAGTATACGAGCAGAGGTGATGGATCGAGAGAAACACATATTTATTCCAAGTTTTGAAACATTCAGGCGGCTTGACTTAAAGAAAATAACATTGAGTCGGAGGGGTGAGTCAATGCTTGAATAAAAAGAAAATAACATTTAGATGAAGCACAAAATAATTTAGGACGCCTTAACCCATTCAAA